GCAAAATTCAGCTGGAGTTGGGCTGGGCTCTGAGGCTGAGGAGGGAAGCGGGATTCAGGCAGAGTGTGCCCAGAGGAGGACAGACAGGAAGTGAGGACAGCATCTAGCCCTGTGTCCTGGAAGAAGCCAAGGTAGTTGAGTCCTCTTGGCCAGCAGAAGAGAAGGACTGGGGCAAGTATGTAAAAAAAATAGCTATTCTCTACAGCCCCATGGGGCAGGTTTCGGGGAGATATAGCACAAAAGAAGACAGAATCCAGTTCAGCCCAAGGAGACAATCTGACTCATCAGAGCCAGAACCTGGCAGTAGCATCAGCAACTACAGGAAGCAAGGAGCCTAGAGGGGGTGAAGGGAGAAACCTGGATGGAGACCTATTCAATTTTCAGGATGTTGCATGGCTGACCTGTTGAACCCCTGACCAATTCATTGTATGAGCAGGTACAGAGTTTTGAACCATCTTACTAAGGTAGCAATGGAGCTCAGAAAGGTTGAGTAACTTGTCCAAGGTCACACAGGGAGGCAGGGCTGTCACCGAAATCTAGGTCTAACTCCAAATCGTAAGGGGTGGAAAGGAGGCTCATCTGGACAGGTTTCTGCTGCCTCCAAAGCCTCTTGGAATGAGGAAGGATTGAGCTGACTGCCTGCCAGCCTCTCTCACCTCCATCACAGGCTCTCCACTGTGACTCCCCTCTTCCATCACCCCCGGCCTCCCAAATGTAACCCCCAAACCGAGCCTTATCTGTTGAGCCCTGATCAACTTTAGTTGAATGCTAGAGTCTCCTGGGGAGCTTAGAAATGTAGCAATGAGCCTTAAAATTACACATGAAGCTGCAGTTTGCAAAAAAGTAAGGCACCAGGCCAGCGAATGGCTCAGTGAGTAAAGGCACTTGCTGCCAAGCCTGATGACCTGATCTCCATTGATCCTGGGAAATCACATGGTGGAAGGAGAGAGCCAACTCCTGAAAGTTGCTCTCTGATATCCACCCATGCACTCTGTGCCGTATGCACACAAAATAAATAAAAATATACTTTTTAAAAAGTAAGGTACTCGGATCCTTGGCACCTGTGTATGTCTATAAAGTCACTGGGTAGATTTCAATGGTAATGTTTATCACCTCTACTAATTAATATGACGTAAACTTTTATGCTTCCTCTTGAAATATAATACATTTTTTATTTGTTGATTTTTTTCTGTGTGTGTATATCATACAGAACATCCCAAACCATCTTTTTCAACTATACACCCACTTCCCAGATGGCACCCTCCCATAGCCTCCCTCC